GCCGTCACGTCGACGGCGTCGATGGCGTGCATCTTCACGACTGGCCCTGACACGCGGCCTCTTCTCGCGCACCCTTCTCTACTCTGTCGCTGCTCACTCCTATGTATGTACGCATACGTGGTACGCACTGTGGAGCACCTGCACGCAGGTCAAGCCTGCCGTACCTACTTCCGGTATCACATATCCGCGCAATCAGGTCGCGTGATCGATAGCACGCGCATATCTCCACACGTTTCACTACGGGCACAATTCCACTAGAAAAGAAATATTAAAAATACCGAGGAGAATGAGAAATCTTGTTCGAGTATTGACGAATCTAAAAGACGACCCTCGTTCCTTATATTCACCCTCGTCGTTAATGTCCTGTTGTACCGGCTCCTAGGGGAGCGAGTCAAGAAGGAGGAGGAGGGCAAGAGTTCGTGGACACGTTTTACCGCAACCACCACCACTATCACCAGCACCACTCCTCCTCACCGTTTGAACTACGGGTTCATGGGAATAGAGGCACACTGTTTCTTAATTCTATTCTCTTCAACTTCTTCCTTCTTATTTCCTTATTATATAAGATATATATCTTCGATATAACGATCGATCCTATCAAAGAAAAACTTTCTTTCACCGTTAAGAATAAATCAGGGAATAAGAAAAACGGTTCCGCGAATGTTTTTGATGGAACGAAACAATGACGCGATTCGTCCGTCTTCTCTCCACGCGGACTTTCGCGATATGGAGCTAGCAAACGACCGAATCGCTCAAGGGGTGGTCGTAGGCTAGGGCGCCGACGTCCTGCGCAATGTATGCGAGAACCAGCACGCTTTTCGCACCCCTCATACCCCTGATCCAAGTTGCAATCGTCGCAGGGGCGCAGAACCCCTGAGTCATTCCTTGTGAAACAACGAGTAAAATGTTCATCGATGTGTTGCTTTCGTGCAGCGCAACGTAAATATGCATGATTCTAGACGAAGAACACGTCTTCGACTAGAGGCATCGAGGCGCTGAGGTTGTGTTGTATACGCTATGAAAACGTGCCGAAAACCTAACCTATTCGAGATGCCGTCATGGATTACCGGCAAACCGAGATACGCGGATCTGACCATAAATATGAATTGTAAACGGAAAAGTTGCGTTATATGACGACGTTGTCTCAATAGAACAATAAAAATTTTTTTTTTCTACTTTTTATTATATAGATTATTCATTGATAGGAAATATTTGCGACCATAATTCTTGATATCGTTCATCTATCTTTTTTTTTCTATGAAAAAAAAATATTTTTAATTTAATTAATTTTGTGATCATAGATATAACATAAATTCTTTAATTTAATTAAAATATTACATTTAAAAAAAATGAAATGATTATGAAGTTATTTTTTGAAAAGTTTTTTTACAAAGTAAGATGTTAAAAAAAATTCTTTTTAAATTAAACTAAATTACACATATGATAATTATAGATATTGTAATGTATATTGTAATATCATGTATTTTTATAATAATATTATAAAAACATACATGATATTAAAAATATATTTTTTATTTTATATATCTTTTTCAAATAAAGTTTAAGAAGAATTTTTCGAATTGTATAAACAAAAATCTAATTTTAATTAAATAATTATTTAATATAATTAAATAATTTTAATTAATAATTAAAAATTCTATACAAATATAAATATATTTTTATTTTTATTTTTAATATAATATTTTTTTCTTTTATGTTAATAATAGTGATTCTTTTTTAAAATTGAAATTTTCTGTTAAGAATTTATTAGAAATTATGAATGTGCAGAATGTGAAGAATTACTATGGATTTTTTTTATTATATGAATTACTTTTATCATAAAGTATCATATTCAAATTTTCAAATAAAATACAATTGAATAATAAAAATTGAAAAATTGATTTTTTTGATCTTCCGAAATAAAATATTCCTTGATGTTGAGCCTATACTTTAAGCTAAAACTTCAAAAAATTCGTGAGAGACGAATTTATACTCTCTTGTCTGCAGGGCTCAATCTTTCACACATGCATGTAACACACATTCATGTCACGTATCTACTATTGTTCAATCTCCATTTCTATAGTTCAAGGTACCTTTCTAATATACATATCGCTCAGAATCGACATTCTTTCACACGTTTGTCAGTTATTCAATATAATAAAAGGTTTCTTAATCTCTTTGAATTCATTTGAACTTTTGAATTTTCATCGACATTTTTTTACCATTCTCATTTTTTTCTTTTTGTCATTGGTTCTCGATTCGTATCAATCATTACTCCCTATGGAAAAATATCCCTTGCAAAATACAGTGATCAAATTTGTCAGTTATCAAAGTTATCGATAAAAATATTGCAGTTCAAATGATTTTATCGATATGAAGGATATTCCATAGAGTCCTTCAATTTTGTAACATCAAATAACAAATCTCGACTTTTATGGAAACTGCATAATTTAACCTGTTTCTGTCAAAGTTTATACAAAAATTAATAGAGCTTAGATGCAGCTGATTGAACTTAGTTTAAAAATATATATGAAATAATCTTTAAAACCAAGTCCATAAATAATGGATTACAGTTATTTTCAATCATGAACGAATATTAACGGCATTGAGATTTTATATTTGGAATCATAGATTGTATTAAATACATATATAATATATTTTATATTAATCATGGGAATTTACAAAAAACGTAATTTTTAATAATAAATATTATTATTAAATAATTAAAATAATTTTTAAAGTTTAATTTTTGAAATATAAATATTGATTTTTTTTAAATTTTTTCTTATCATTTTTTATATCATTTCTATTGCATGATTTATATGAAACATGATATCAGATATTTTTTAAGCAATGTCTTATTTTTGTAAAAATATATATTTTTAAATAATTCTCAATATACATGTTGAATCATATAATATAATGAATATAATATAATATAAATGAATTCTTTATCAAAAAATAAATTAAAAATATTGAAACGATTTTTCATTTAAGGCTTCGTTTTCAAAAAAATAAATTTTGAAAATTCTTTGAATACGCATGTACGCATTGAATATATATATATATATACACACAGAGGTAAAAATATTTAATATTTTTAATGTATTTAAGTAACATTGAGATATGTGATCAACAACAAATTAATTAATAACAAATTTTTATTGTTTAAAATATATTTTAAGATTATAAATATTTTCATATTTAATTTCTATATCTTTTCATTCTTAAATAAATAATAAGTTATAGTTATATCAAGTGTATATCAAAATATTTTATTAATTAATTTTTAATTTTTATTATTAATTTTTAAAAGTTAAAAATTTTCATTTTAACAATTATAATGTCATCATAAAAATTAACTTAAAAAATTAAGGAATACTGCTAAAAATTTCATAAAACAATTTTTATACTTATATCAAAAAACTATAATAACTAAAAAAAATTATCATTATATTATTATCATTATATTCATTATACAAATTTTAAATTTTTCAAATACAACTCAATATCAATAACAAAAATAAATCTTATCCTACCAGAAATTAAATGTTTAAAAAATTCTCTCATACTTAATTTAAAAAAACAGTGAAAATTCAACAATTAAAAATTCTCCAAACTTACATAATTAATATCAATAAAAATAGATTTCGTTTTCGAACTCAATATCAATAACAAAAATAAATCTTATCCTATCAAAAATTAAATATTTTAAAATTATTCCCATATTCAATTACAAAAAAAAATCGATAATTCAAAATTTTGAAAAATATAACTCAATATTAATTATAAAATAAATTCTGCATTTGTTTCTTGAAAATTAATTTCATTTAAATCCATCAAATAGTTCTCCATTGTATTATCCAATAGTTCAAAATCGATTCGAATCCAAAACTATTTAAAATCATGAAATCTATTGAGAGATCCGTTTGAAAGTTATCAAGCCTCCCTTACAAAGACGACCCACTTTTACCAAGCAACTAACTTACGTAACTACATATCTCACGATCCTTTTGCTAAGGCGTGCTTGGTTCCATTAACGGCATCCGGCGAAGAAAACGACAAACCCCTCTTTGGATACGTGTGGCAATCGTTTCTGTTTCTGTATCAGTTTATGTGTCTCAGCATGTGACCGGTAATCGCGGTTCCTTAAACATCAGAACGAGAATTCCCTTCCGATACATTAAACGTGACGCGTTAGTCGCCATCTACGTTCACATCTATTCGAGAATTTATAGGATTTTTCTCTATTCAACTTTTGACAGATATAAAAAGTTTTGCAAATGACAGTTTATCGTATTTTCTGTTCATTGAATTTTCATTATTCATTTTGACAAATAATTTTTATATGAGAAATTTCCTCATAAAAATCTAGTAAAATATTTTTAAAAAAAATTAAAATTTAAATAAATTTAGTAGAAATTGAAATTTATTATTAATCATTCGTTATTATTAAAAATTCGTTCCTAATTAGATCAGATATAATTAGATATATATACATATAAGATTAATTTATATTTTTTTTTTTATAATAAAATTTAAACAAAAAGAAAACTTATCTGAATTAAATTTTGTATAATTTTTTTTATTTTATTTTTCATTTTATAATTTTATATAATTTTTCTTTCAAAATTATAATGAAATTGAAATAACTAAAAGATTTTTAGAATTTAAAGAATATTAATAAGAAGAATCATGTTAGAGTAATTAATGATTAAAATGATAAATAATAAATAGTCAAATATTTCAAAGTAATAATCTAATTTTTGTATATAAATACATATTGTTAATTATTATTAATTAAAATTTAATAATTTCGGTAATTAACAATAATCATATATGTATAAAACCATATTTTAAAATTATAAAATTTGCATATAATCTTATTTCAATCAAAACTGTAATTCTAAGTTGTAAGATTTTACATATATTGTATATTAATTATACATAATTGTATATAATTAATATAATTTTAATATTAAAACTTGAAAAAAATATATTAATATACTTAATTAAAGACAAATATATTATTAACATTTTGATATTACTTTCATTTTCTTTTCATTTCATTTTATTCATAAATTGGATAAAATTCTTTGTTTAGTAAAAATATACATCTAATTTTATATATATATAATATTATATTTATCTAAATTCAATATTGCTATTATCATTGGAATATTAATTAAAATTTCTAATCATTTCTAATGTTTCCTCACGAATAAACAAAATCTTATTCCATTAGATGTTGAAATAGATTATGTTAGGTGAATTTCTCTAGGAAAGAATATTGCGTAAATTTGCTATCAAGCCTTGGAAAAGTATTGCAAATCACTTCTCTGAAGTTCCTCGCATAACGTAATCATTGTTAGAATAACTTGAAGATTTAAAAATCTAAAAGCTTTGCTGATTGATGAATGAGTTGTTGTAAGAGATCAAGAAATAATGTATCAAGGAATTCTAATGATATTTTTCTTTACTACTAGTGATGAATTTTAAATACTCGTTAAAGGAAGATAGTAATTTCGATGAAGCTTATACTATATACTTTTACAACAATGAGAAATCGTGTACGTAATATCTTTATTATAAGATCATTTATTAAAATTTAAACTGAGTTTTTTGTTATCTTGAAAAGTTTAAGGATTTGATTAATGAAATTATTATTTAATATTGATTTATATTATATATTTATATTATATTAAATAAATCAATATTAAATTTTAAATTTTGTTAAAATTATATTATTATTATTTTAATATAATATATTATATTAAATTTTTGATGATTCCTAAAAAAAGTTCCGAATAATTTGAGTTAAAGACATTCATAAGATATTCCAAATTTTTTCAGAATATTTTAAAAAATTCAGAAAAAATAAAAACTTTTAAAAATCACTACAATAAAAAAAATTACTTGAATAAATGATCTAGTTTGACTGGAAAGTTATAATTAATTATATTACGTGTTCTACGATAAACTAATCAATACATTTCTACGATAAAATAATAGCATACCGTGCAATATAACATCTTAAAATTTTTACATGCATTCACATGTAAAATATTTCGTACTTAATAATATAAAAGACGATCGTAATTATATTTTAATTTACAAATTTAATTCATTATGTAAAAAATAATTGGGAGAAAATAATAACACAGGTAAGTAATAATAAATCAAATCAAAGTTTTATTATTATTCGAGAATGGAAAAATTTTTTCTATTTTCATGTGTTAAATCTAAATGTGGTTATAAAAATTATCTATAATATTCAAAAATATAAAATTTAAAATTCAAATAGATAAAAAATATTGATTTTTGCTATATTTACGAAAGTATTTAAAAAAAAATAATTTTTTTTAAATATTTTTACCAAATATTATATCATATATTATATATAATAATTTAATTATATTAAATATAATTGTTATATTTAATAATAATATTATTTTTTTTCTACAATAAAATTTTCTAAAATCAAATTTGATTTATTATCATAAGATTTTTTATTTTGCTGAAATATATAACATTGAAGTTATTCTATCAACAATAAGAAAAATATAAAGATTTTATAAAGATTTTTAAGCAAATCTTTTTTCAAATATAATAAAAATATTTTTTCGAAATTAAGATAAAACGTTTTTCAATAAGTTTTGATTCATACATAAAAAGTAGAATTTTTAATTTAAATTATGCAACTGTTTCTAACAAATCAAGAACTTTGTTTAATAACACAATTTATAAAATGTGACCGATTTACAAATAAAATTAGAAAGTAGCTTCTATAGATTAAGTAAAAAAAAAACTCACTGCTATGACCAGAAACAGCATCATTAATATTTCATGAAAAACGAATGTTGAATGTCATATGAAAAAAAATATATATATATATACACATATATATCAAGTTGTAACTTTTGTATATTTAAAATCATCTTATAAAAATCTTCTTATAAAAAAATAAATCAATATGTAAGATAATACAAAGTATATATACGTTTTCATTTTGCGATATTCTCGAGAGTTTTCATCGACGTGTTGCAACTTCCTTTCATCCGTTCGTGAATCACGATACATACTTTCTTGAAACCAAAATTGTTGTTGTTAAATGAATATGAATATGGAAACTCAATTCTTCGTCGTAGCAACCAAATTGGACCAATATTTCGCATATTCTTTCAAAATAGTGCCTCTGCAATCAAAAAAATAAATCAAATCAAAGTTTTTGAATTAGAAATTCTATAATAAATGTAATTCAAATATTTAATAATAATTAATTTTCTGCAAACATAGTTCTTTTTTAACATTAATTAAATTATTAAAAATATAATAAAATAATAAATGTATAATAAAAAAAAATATTATATTTTTTAATTTTACAATCTATTTTAAATAAAAATATATTCAATGTTTTTTAATATATTTTATAATGTGAATATTTAATTTATAAAATATTATATTATGTTTTGTTTGGAACATGATTTAATGTTTAATTTGTAAAATATCGCGATATATATCATATTGCAATATAATTCCATTATAAAATATCAAATTGCGTATTATGTTCGTTGAGACTCGAAAAAGGAATACATAATCCAATAAACTATATATTCACTATTACATTTTTTCATGTTTTAGTTTTAATAAATAGAAAAATAAAAACAAGAGGAAAAAATATAATAAATTAATTTTTTTTATAGGTTTAAAAATTTAATAATTTGAAATCTGTTTTTACTTAAAATTTTTAGAATTAAAAAGGATTTTATCATCCTTTCATAAATTTCAAAAATATTATTTATCATTAATTTTAACATAAATTTTGATTTTTTATAATTCGTTATGAATATGTATCACTTATTTTTAAAAGCTTATATCTCTTTTGATAATATTTTATAAATATTCCTTTTCATCATATTGGAATACATGGAATTAAAATTAAACGAATTTTATTATGTTTCTCTTCTATGATTTTATAATATATCAAAGATTGTAAATGAAATTTTTTATAAAACAGTCATATATAAGCAGCTTCATAATTTAATAACAACAATAATTATAGAATTAATAGAAAATTGAAAGAAATATAAATCTCATGAGATAAAAACTGAAAATCTTAAAGAGATATAAAGATGAACAAAAATCATTAATATCATTAATGAAATGCTTAAATAACTAATGCTAAAAAATAATTAAAATTAAAATTATTTCAATATTTTAAAAATAATTTTTAAACAACTTAAACATACAAATTTAAAATTGAATGAAATTTAAAAATCTAAAAAAATTTTTTAAAAAAAGAAGAATCCCTTAAATAAATATCAATTTTTTAAACTTTATCGTACAAACATTTTTTCATTTTTTTTATTTATGGAGAAAAGAAATAAAACAACTTAAAACTATCATTTGAAAAGTTTTTTCTTTCGAATGTATGAAAAGACTAAAAAAGGAAAGTGTACAGCAAAACTATTCAATGTGCTATTTCAAATGAGGGACAGCAATGAGTACAAACGATTCGTTCACTATCTTTCATGTATTCCCTGAAATTCAATGGTTTATTAGCAAGTCTACCATGTACACGCGTATTCGTGAGTAATCGCACGAAAAATGAATCGCAGAAATGATTATTTCCACTGACCAGCGACATACAATTAGTCTTATTATATTATTTCTTTATGATCTTTGTATATTCTTTTGATTTACTCAATTTTTATTCAATTTTCTTAATGAATTGGATAAAAAAATCAAAATTGTCATTTTTAATTCTTTTTTAATAAATACAATTTTTCAGATGAATTAGAAAAAATGAAATAATAATTATTATTTGTTCAATGTATCTTTTTTGAGGAATAATTTAATAAATTGAATATGAAAAAAATATTTTTTTAAAATTTGCCAATAATATTGGCTAATTAATTAATGAATTAATAATGATTATTTGACAAATATACATTTTTGGGAGATTTAAAGAATGAATAATTGAAATTTAATGAATTAAATAATGAATTAAAACCAAACAATTGTCATACTGAATTCATAATAAATATTTAATATACATCATATATATTATTATTTTATAAAAATATTGAATACTTTTTTCTGTTTAAAATAATGTTTTATGAAATATAAATCAATTATTTGATTTTTTTATTCAAAATGCCATATTAAATATTTACGCACTTTATCTATTCTTTGTTTATCTTAATTGATTTTAAATTCATAATTTCGTCTAAATAGAATTTTTTTAAAAAATGATTCTTCATTTTCGTATTGTTGCAAATCCAATGAAAAAAATGGATATGAAAATCTATGCAAATCTTAAAAAAATGCTAGGAGTAAAATCTTTCATTATTTTAATTATGCTTGTTTTGAAAATGCTTTTTTCAAGTTTAAATTATTTTAGATTTATATATGGATTTTCATTAACTTTATTTAAAATATTTCTTCTATTTCTTTCTTTTCATTCAATTTTTCACATTATCAATTTCACAAAAATTATTGACCATATTTATACATATTATTATTGTATATTTAAATTGAACATTTACTACTTTTATTATAAATTAACACTATAACAACTTTTTCTTATATTAAGTAATTCATTATGAACTTCACATAAACTTTACATAAACTGACAAAGTGAAGATGATTAGAATATTAAGTTATCAAGAATTGTCAATATTATATGTTTTATGTATATATTTATATATAGACTCTCTATTATCACATCTTAAACATATCCTGATCTTAATAAATTTAAATTGTACATAAAATTTCAATTTTTGAAAATCAAAATTATTTTAAAATCATGTTATTATACGTGTTTCAATATATTTTCTAATTAACAAGATCCAAAAAAAATACATAATTTGATGCAAGAAAGTTAATTATAAAGTTAAATTACATTATAAAAAAAATAATGAAAAATCAATGAAAAAAAATATTATTGTCGAATTTTTGTTCTTTGATATTATTTATATTATGTATGAGAAATATTTTTTGCACCGTAAAAATTTAGAAAGAGGATCTTATTGAACCATATTGTATGAAAAGTTTTTTTTATTAGAATTCAGCAAATATAATTTTGGCAAAAATGAATGAGATATAAAAATTTAATGAATGTGCTTTTTTTTCGGAAAAAATGAAAACCAAATAGCTATAATTTAATAAAATTAATATAACAGATCTTTTTCAGAATTCAACGAATATAAATTTTAGCGAAAATGAATACTAAATGATATTTAATGATAATTTGACATATATATATATATATTTTTTAATTAAAAAAAAATTAAATAATCTTTCTCTTGCACTTAAGACATTATTCTTAGAAATATTTTTTTCTATATTGGTAAATTTCTGTTGAAAATTAAAAAATAATAAGAATTTGTCTATTTAAATTAGAAAAAATAGTAGATTATATGTTTTTTAACAAATGAAATCCTGCTACTGAAATTAATTAGTCAGATCCGAAAGTTTAAAACATCTCTCCAGTGTCTGTTCCTCATTCAATCAAGGAAATCAAGGAAACATTACTTATAAATTATTATTAGAATGATTCATTATTTATAAAGAAAAAAAAATTTTTTAAATATATCACAATATTTAATACAATAAATATAGAATTAATATATCCTGATATTTATTACAATCTAAATGAAAAACATTAAAAATCATTGATCAACTATATAAATTCAAAAATTAAATTTAAAATATAAAAAAAAATTATTAATTTCCAAAAATAATTATAAATGCAAAATATTAATATATTCATGAGACAATTTTAAAGAATCGATTTTTTCGAAATTCAACATAAACATAAAAACCAGTATATAAAAATTTCAGTTTATTTATTAAATTATAATTTAAATATGTTGTATATGTATATGTAAATTAAATATTAAATATTATAATTATACATTCTAATTTTTGCTAAACTGATATTTTTATATCAATTTTTATATTTATGTTTTAATCTCTCCAATCAATTATTCGAAAATGTTTTATTAAAATATTTATATTTTATATATTGAAAAAAATATTATTGAATTTTTTAGAATATAAAATTTACGAAAATAATAAAGATTATTAAAGTAAATTAATAATATTTAAAATCTATAGATTATTAAATATTAATGCAATTATAAATATTAAATAGATAAAAATTAATCATTTATAATATTTAGAAATTTATATATAATTAAAATTTGATAATCGAAGTGAATTAAAGTGATACTGTTCAATGAAAAACACTATTATATAAATTCAATAATTTAAAAAAAATTTTATTAAAATTCAATTTTCTATAATATAATAACTGAATACTTGAAAAAAATACTGAATAAATGAATATTATATCAAATTTTTTTAAAAAATAAAGACTATATAATAATGTATACATAATAGATATATATAGATATATATAGTTTATTTATATAATAAAAATATTATTACACAGGAACATAATTGTTATTTCAATTTGTTTCTTATTGTTTTTCTACAATCATAATTCTCTCGTATATATATAATTATATATATAACCACTAATTTTTTAATTAAATTATTGAATTTGAATTTAATGATTAGATTTAATGATTTATTTATTAATTTATGATTTATTTCTTTAATATTTTTATATTTCGTATAATTTCTGTTAGAAATCAATTATCTTATTTTTATATTAACACTAATTTAATTGAAAATTATTTATCTAAAAAAATATTTAATAAATATTGAGAATTTCTTTTAGTTAAAGAATACTTTATAAAGATTGAAATAATATGTTTTAATTATTTCATACTATCTACGAATATAGGATATTCTTTTTAATTGAGAAAAATATTTCATAAGAGAAATTTAAAATAATTTTAACAAAAATTGTTTGATTACAGGATATCATATAATGTAATTTATTTTTTTATAAATCAAATACTAGAGAAGATTTTTAAAGAAGATCAATTTCACTTTTTTTGAATGAAATATAAATACAATTTGAATTTAATTAATTAATCTGGATATTATCCCTATAAAAAAATATTATTTATATTGAAAAACTATTGGTTTAGGAAATATTACAACTTAATTATGATTCCATGCTATGAATTCAAAAACTAAAAGAAAAACTATAATAATTATAATAACTTTACAAATAGGATTTGGATTTCAAATTCATTTTATAGATCAAATTCACTTTTTTGCAAATTAAATTTACTTCAAATCATATATTTACAGGAAATTACTTTTTCTTATAAATTGTAAAAATTGTAAGTAAATTAAATGATATATAACTGAATAATGATAACATAACCAAAACCAGATTATTAAAGCCATTTAATAAAAAATAGAATTTCCCCAATTTTATTTTAAATGCTGTATACAAAGAAAAAAATACTGTTCTTTTTCTATTTTTCTTTTTGATTTACGATTTCTCTCTCTTTCTTAATTTACGAAAAAATTAATTTGATCTGCAAAAGAATGAATTTGAAGTACAAAATCTATAAATATATAAAAATACAATATATTTTTACAATACGTATATTTCTTTTATTGTACTATATATACACATACATACACATATATTTCTTTAATGTACTAATTAAATAAAACACATTAAACAGTAATAAATGTAATAACTATTCACCAATAAGAGAAAACTGTGCATATATATGTCTATAAAGTCTGTAAAGTTAATTAAATTAGAGCTAATCACGATTATTATCTTCCCAATCTCCGAATTCTAACGCAATATTTTAATCAAAATATCTCATAAATCTAATACTTTTCTGACAATCTGAAAATGCAATTAATTTTTTTATAAGGTGCTATCAGATAAATCAATTAATATAATATTTAATATAACATCATTTATAATACATATAATATCATTTTAAAAAAATGAAATTCTTAAAATCTTTACTTAAAAAAAATAAATTGTATCATATGTCTTCTTTTTGTTAAAACATTTTTTTGATAATTTCAATCTTTTATAAAATATTTCACTATTCTCACTTAAAAAAAATATCATATATATATTTTACTGTCATATAAGTAATATTGTCGTGACGTACTCATAAATTATTTTCTAAAATTTTATCATTAATATTATTATATTAATTAATTATTTAATTATTAATTAATTATTATATTAATTATTATATTATTATATTAATGATATATATTTCTGATAATAAAATAAAATTTTATATTTGATAATTTTTAATGATTTTATAATATTGAATCAAAAACAATCCATAATTATTGTATTCATAATAATTCTTCTCATTATAGATGATATAAATGTAGATAATAGATTTTTATTATAATAATAAAAAAACAGAATAAACAAAAATAATATATAATAATAAACAATTTTATTAAATTTCTATGATAAATTTTTTAAGTAAATGAAGAAACATTCAAAAACCATAAAATTGAGCTCATAAATAATAGTATTATTTTGTAACTATTTTATAACAGATTATATTCTTTCTCATTTCGAGCACAACAAATGATATCGTCTCGTTTACGATAAGAGTGGCACAACTTTAGAAGTAGATTTATATTCTATTATATGGAATATTATATGGAAAAGAATTTATTTCTTTCATAAAATTACGTACCAATTACGTATAAATTTATATAACTCGTTTATAATATCTGAAAATTGAATTAATAAATTGAAACATATCTACTTATGAAATTTTTTAGAAATTAAATAAATTTTGAGATTATATATGTTTAAATTTTATTTATAAATCATAATAATATTGAATTAATCGTCATAAAATGATTTTAACTACTTACTTATTCTGCTATTTAAGATTCTTTCTTAATTGTTAAATTAAAAATATTTATATATTCTGTTCTGAAATGCAATAATATGTTAATAATCTATTATCAAAAATTTTAGATTTACTTTTGATAGAATTGGCTTTGAAATAAAAAATGTTTATATTTTCTATTGCAAATAAAATATGTTAATATTTCAATGATCAATGAAATTCTCAAAAAATTTTAATTAATTATTTTTTAATATTATTGTTTAATAAACGATTCATTTAAGAAAAAGCTTTTTTGAAATATTTCACTTGTAACACAACATTTTAATAATTTAAAATTTTTTCTTAAGATTCCAAATTTAGAAAATTGCAGAATATTCTAAATACAAATATTTAAGAAATATAGAAAACAAATAATAATATTACAATAACAACAATAAATATTATAAATATATATAAAATATAAAAGAATATAGACAAAACATAGAGAAAAAGATCAAAATACAAAAAATTATGAAATTATTATTCTTGAAAAAAAAACACAATATGAAAATTAAAAATTAAAATATTGAAATGTAAAATTATTATTAAATTTTTAAAATATAAAAAAATTCCTATAAAACATATAAAAATATTAAATTGATATAATATGAAAAAAGAAATTAATTTAAATTTTTATATTATAATTTTTATATTATAAATACAATGAAAAAAAAATAAAATATTGGATATGTATAAAATAAAATAATTGGATATAGCATTTTAAATCTTAAAAGTTATAGTTATTTTTAATTTCGTATATTATTGTGTTGCTAGAAATTTTCCAACAAGAATATAATTTTTCACGATTTTGAAAATCATGAACGAAATATTTTCTTTTTAAAATTACATCAAAATGTTAAATTCAATACATGTTACTGCATTTTATATTCTCGAAAAGAATAAAATTGGAACTCACGTAAAGTACACGCGTCCACGCGCGTTCGGCGGTGCATTCCAGATAAGTGTAGCATGTTGTTTCACATAAGGATCGGCATGTGTCACAGCACTACATTCGGGATGAGTGTTCGTGTTATCGGTTTGCGCCCAAGAACCGATCCAACTATCTGTATCAGGGTCACGTGCTTGCAAGAAGAATCCCTTGAACGACGAGCCGCTAATAGTTACTGAAAAATATTCGTTTCACATTGAAAATCTCAATCTCAGAGAATAGCTTGATTGAAATTGTTTTTTAATGTGATGTGGAAATAAACCTAGTAAAAAAGAATTGTAGATGATTATTGATATGAATATTGGAGAATGTAGTTTTTTAGATAAAGATAGAATTTTATCTGTGGATTTTTCTATAATTTAATATGGATATTAAAAATTACTATTTAGTATTTATATAATAAATTTATATTTAAAAAGATAAAACAATTTGCTTTGCATATTTTTATATTCTCCGATTATAATATTATATTAATTTTAAATTTTATTTAATACATCGAAATACTTAAAATAATGAATAACTTAAAAAAACATGTAATTATATTAATATAATTCTATTTTTTAATTAATTAAATTTTTTATCATAATGATTTTCAACATTATAGTTTATTTTTTAAATTCTTTTTTTTTTAGATGTTAGAGAAATTTGTAATATAAATTTTTCTTATATGTTTATTATTATATATAATTTACTTGTAATTTATAATTTAATAATTTTTTTAGGCTTATATGAAATTTTGAGAAAGAAAATCTTGAAGAATAAATCTTGAAGATTTATTTCGTATTTATCTATTTTATATATAGAATAAATTACAAATATTTATGCAAATTCATTTTTTGAATATAATTAATGAAATGAAATTTAAATAAATTATTTCTATTTATAAAGTAGTGGTTAATAAATATTATAATTTGAATATCCTACTTTAGAAATTTTAAATGTTTTCGCATATTATGTATGTATTCTATTATATATTCTACATATTATATTTTATATATTTTTGTATTATAAATATATAAACATTTAACAATTATATTATATAAATTATAATTAAGTAATTTAGTAAATTGAGAATAATGAATAAAAAAATTAAAAATTACAATTTTATTTCATTTTAATGTACATAATTAACGTTTAAATAAAAAAAAGTCACAAAATAATTTTGATAAGATTGTCTAAGAATACAAAAAAAAATACAAAAAAAAAAGCGTAAATAACTTCCAATAGTACAAAGCTCATTTTCTTCGAGAACATAAACAGGATATAAACCTTGAGGTTCGTTCACATTTCCCTCATACCATTCTATTTCATTCCAGCTTCACTATTGTCCAATGTTTCAAGGCATTGGAAAAAGACCAGTTTAGTTATAGGTCAATCGCCTTGAGTTTCATGATAAAAGGGAAGGTCGATACTCTGCAAACTATATTTGTATCATTTTTTTGTTTTGTTTTATTTTTTTTCCTTCTATTTTATCTTTTGCTAGAAAATAACATTGAATATTTAATTCAATGAATATATTTTAATTAACGTTTAATTAAATCAATTAAACAATAAATCTTTCTTCACTATTTAATAATCAAGATTAATGCTTTTTTTTTACAATCTTAAAATTAAAAAAAAATTATTATTAATAAATTAATCTTATTTTATTTAGAATTATCAAATTTAAATAATATAGAAAATAATATTAAATAAATAATAAATACTATAAAAATATTTTATTAAAAACAATTTTTAAATTACTAAATTAAAAAAAATGAGAAATAAATAATATTAAATACAATGTAATATTATTTATATGAATTTTATATGTCTGAATTCTAATCTCTTTTCTGAATTCTAATCTTGTCTGAATTCTAATCTTTTTCTATTATCCGAACTCTAATTATATAAATTAAAAATTACATTTTGTAATAATTTTGATGATTATATATAATAAGTAAAAAATTAATTTATTAAACATTAATTATTATATTTTATAATGTAATAGAACTTTCTTATAAAATAGTGCAAGAAAACTTTTACGAATAATTGAAGCTTTTTTAAATATATGAATATATAGGCAAATTACTTAAATTTTACTAGAAAATGCATTCTTTAGGCAATAGAGTTAGGATAAGTAATATATATTTTTTTTTTCGAGCAAACGCATTAAGTATAATAGAATGAGAAATACAATTGAGAATTTCACAAAATTCCAGCCCATTATTTAATCCAGCCCATTTATTGAGCTACATGATTACAAAGTACATTGTTTCTCTACATATACAAAATTACTTTCAAAATCAATGTATCAAAAATTTTTAGCTAAGAAAAAAAAATAGATTATTATAAATTATTTACTCAAATTTCAATACAGATATTCTGTCTATTTTTATTTTTATTTATATATATTTTTATCTGTACATATATTCTATCTTTATAAAATTGTTATTATAGTTATAGTATATTATAGTATATTATTATATACCATATATTATTGAATTTAATACGTTTTGAATTTCGAAAAATTAATTTGAAAATTCATGAACATAAGAACAAAACTCATCTTCAATTATTATTATTGTATTATACAATATACAAAAATATTATGTTTACAATTCATCATATGATTTTTAATCTAAATTCATTTTTTTAAATGAAGGAAAATTCTCAATCAAAAATTTAAATTTCTCAAAAATTTAAAGATTGGATTGTGAAAATGACATTTAACATGTGGTGTAAACATGGAGCAAATTTTCACTTGAATATTAAAACTCAAGTATATTTATCAAGAGTTTGATTTAAATGTTTTAATACATGGCAAGTGATAAATAACAAAAATTTTAGGCATAATTTCAATTCAATGAAATTTATACAGAATTTCTTTTTCCTAGATGATTTTTGCTATTATTCCAATGATTGAACATGTAAAAATGGGCCACGAACCGCAGAATACGCAATTGTTAACGTTTAGAATTTCGGAGTCATGCAGTATCCACGTTGATTGGATCGATTGTTCCATACTGGTTTTGTTCTGTTATTTTTATTTTACTACTAATTTTGAGATGAAATATAATAGATACAAAATATAATGGAAAGAAATATTTCGTCTTTCATGACAAAATATTCAATTATGTTTTTTTTCTTTTTTTTTTTCAAATAATATATTCTCTTTTTATGGAAAAATATAACTTTTTATTTTGAAAGTTATCAATCAGTATAAAAAAAAAAGACTTAATTTTAATTTTTAATTTGTTGTAACAAATATTATAGAATATTAATATTTATTATAATATTTTATATTAATATTATAATATTTATTAATTTAATTAATTTTTTCTTTATATTAATTATTTAATATTAATTTTTTTCTTTATTATAAAGGGAATATCATTTTATTCTTTTTTTATTTTATTAATGACTGTCATTAATTTCGAGACAAAAAATGAGACATCTTTTCTATGAAATATTTTTTTATATTTTTTAAAATACTTTTTTTATGAAAGAATATAAGAATTATTTCTTTTTAAAAATTATTATAATCTCAAGAAAAAGAAATTCTTTTTTTTCGTCTCAAAATTAATTTTATGTTGTTTTATCTTATTTATTGATTGCTAATTTTGAAATAAGATATATAAAAATATATTCTTTGTGAAGAAATATCTAACAATCGTCTTTTTTTATCCTTTTCGAAGAAATCCTTTTTTTTTAAAGAATATAATTCTTTCCTTTTTGAATAAAGCTTTTTAAAAAAATTAATTTAATCTTTTTTCGTTTATTGACAATAATAAATATTCCTTTGATAATTAAAATTAAAAAATGTTTGAGAATTGAAAGAAGTATTGAATATAATTTGTAAAAGTAAATGTATATAGAACGTAAAACAAAAAATATAACTATCAATATGAGGATGTAAAAAATTTTTTCAATTTCATCAATCAAAATTTTAAAAATATAATAATTATATTTATAAATAATATTAATATTTTATTATATATATAATTA